AAAATAATATATGACTGCATTTAACCAATACCTTTTTAAAAGATAAATGATAATATAGCCCATACACTCTACAAATCTCTACAGAACCGTGGTTATAGTACAAAATATATCRGAGTTATATCATAGAATATCGTTGTTATTGATAATCGGAGCAACGATTGTCGTAGCAGTTGCATAGGTGTCMATCTTCATTTATTAATCGGAGTAGTATAATATCGGAGTAACAGATTTTCGTAGTATTAGTGTAACCCCATTGAATGGGTACTATCAATAATCATAATAATAACGTAGGGTAACCAAGTTTTACAATACGATTACCGTTATGTGTTCTTTTGGGATAACGTGGTCTAACGTCTTATTCATTATGTATTATCTATTATAAAGCAATAACTGAATAACCTTAAAAAATATATTGTTAACATTAGTTCCAAGATTTTACACAATGAACATATTCTTATGTATAACATCTTGAATAAACATGTTTATTATTTTTATTATTAATTTCTTAATCGTGATTTGTGGTTAGGTACACAGTTTAATAACATTTGACTATAAGTATTAATATATTTATAATAAGTATCTACTTTTTGCAGAAAAAAAATATAAAAGATTTAAATATTTAATCATGTTTATTCAAGATGTTATACATAAGAATATGTTCATTGTGTAAAATCTTGAATAAACATGTTTATTATTTTTATTATTAATTTCTTAATCGTGATTTGTGGTTAGGTACACAGTTTAATAACATTTGACTATAAGTATTAATATATTTATAATAAGTATCTACTTTTTGCAGAAAAAAAATATAAAAGATTTAAATATTTAATCATGTTTGGATCATTTTTTAGAGATTATGGTTTTATTATCGGGATGGTAATTATATTTATTTTGTGGTTAGTTTATTTCGAAAGAATTTATTCCTGGTTTCCTGGTACGTCAATTTTTAATTAGAGTGAAATTTAAGATATAAATATTAAATACGTATTACTTATTTTTGTGTTGTTTTAGAAATGTATTAAAATGTATTCTTCACACAATTTCAAGCAGTCGAAAGTAACTGTTTTATATCACCTATTGGCTGATCAAGTATTATGTTTCATCAGTGTCTTAATACTTATTTCAACATTACAATTGGTTATTGGATTCATTTCGCCATAATATGTTAGATTGTTGTACAATTACAGAGAAGGTATGTATAATATATAGATGCATCAAGAAATGTCAAGTTCATTATAATATTTTCATTTTTCTTATACAGAATAAACACATAATTTACAAACAATTTAGATGACGATAATTAAAAAAGGGACTTAATATTTTTGATAAATTAAATTACTTATTTTAGTGCTAACTTGTGATAACTTAACATTGGTTTTTAGGCCATAATCAAAGTGATCTAATACTACTAGTATTTAAAATTKTACAGAAACAGGTTTTGTATTTCTTTTGCTGTCTATAATTTATCACTTGGAATATTATAAGCTGCTAGACAATTAAAAATTTGTCATATTAAAGCAAATAGTATGTTGATCAAAATATTAAGCTTTGGCCAGTTTGTTATTCATACATTTTGTTAATAGTCAAGAGTCGCATATTACTAGGATTAGGATGTTTATGACTTTTGCATATTTTTTCTTTTAGTCGTGCACATTGCAAACCAAGTTATAAATTTGTTTTGTGTGATATAGAATCAAATACATTCAATTTTATTTAGCATATTTTTGCATATTTAGAGATTTTTATGAATAAATGCATATTTGGCCAAAAAATAACTTAAATACAATATAAACCTCAATAAAAACCCATAGGTAGGCACATTCTGTTTCACATTTAACGAAAATGAGAAAATATGAAACCCGTAGTATATAATTAACTTATCTTTATTACTTACTTAATTAAATATTAATTTGCTGCAAGTACCTATGTTTTTAATTTCAAAATATCATATTTTTATATATTTGTATTTAAGTTTAAAGTTATAAAAAAAGTTGTAAATTAATTTAAAATACATTTTGGATTAGAAATAAAATGTTAAAATGACATGTTTAATTTTTTTAAGGGCGCATATTTTGATATTTATTGTGTACACTCGCATGCATTTTATAGTGTTTTTAAGGTCATAAGCATCCTAACCCTACCTATTAGTACTAATGGTTTTATAATATTTTACTTATTATTTATTCGTTAGGTTATTATTAATTTATAATAATATAAATTATATTATTAAATATGACAAATTCACTTGTTTATGGTATCATTTATTTTGTTGAAATGCTATACCAATATCAGTTATCAATTTTGTTGTTTTTATTCAAATATTTAATTGAACTAAAGAGATATTGTATAAATGCAATAAAATAAATGGGCTTAAGATAACATTAAGTCTACAGTTGAATTTAAGTCACATATAGACATATTATTATATTGGCATATTATAATACATAGGTCCTATAATATTAAGACATATTTTTTGATAATTATTTTTCTATTGGTACCTACTGAATGTATTTTTTTTTAAATTTATGATTAAATTTGAAAAGTATTATTGAATTATTATTACTTATTAGTATTATTATTTTGTTTCATTAAGTTTACTATAATTTTACAAGAATTTAGAATACTTTATAATTAAGGCTTGGTACTTAATGCGCTTAAACTGTGCTAAATATGCATGCCCTTCTTTGATTAAAATCTACAAATATGCACATTTTTTTTACTAAATTCAAATTTTATACAGGGTGATTCTTTTATCAAACAACACTCATTATTTTAAAAAGTATTGACTTTTTTCAAAATAATTTTTTAATAAAAACGTTGGTTTTTTAACAACTTGAAACTATGTAAAAAATATTTTGAAAAATTCAATACTTTTTTTAAATAATTAGTGTTGTTTGATAAAAAAAAGTCACCCTGTATAGTAATTTAATCATATTTTAATAGAATTGATAGCATGCTATTTCTATTGAGTATGATTATAAAAACATATAGTTATAAATTTGTGATGTTGGAAAATATTTGTTATAAATGAAATAGCCCCCAAAAAACATACAAATGCAATAACTTTTGAGCCATATTTATAATGTATATAAAATATAATATATTAATTATTTTATAATATAAATAAAAATAACCTAAGCCTAACCAAATTAAAATAGATATAAATATAAAAATATTTTGTTACGAAATGCATTATTTTAACTATGAAAACACTATTTTAATTTTAGATTTGTCAGTAAATTATTTGGAAGCCTCTTTTACTCCAAAACAAAAGAAATATCCCGACCATCTTCTTTGGTCGAGTCTATTCCAAAATCAAGTTGGCAGGTAGATGGTCGCGTTCCTAAAACTCCGTCTAACTCTTTTTCAATCATAACCGAGATAGTAACAGTTTTTGAAGAACCAATTTTTTCTAAATCCAACCTCACAATTTCATAAATCTGGAAGTCAGGAAAATAAATTTATAAAAATATATATATTATTCTATTTTAAATTTCATTAGAAAATCAGTTTTGTTGTTTACATCTGCGTTCCTAAATTGTTTCCCATTAAGCAGTTTCATAATATTGCTTTCTTTTACAGAAGCTACTAATGTGGCTATTCCTGCAGAACTCCAACGGCATATTTTTATTTAAGAATTCATATTTCATATTAAGTTCTTTATTAGGTACTTAAAACGAAATATTACGTAATGCGTAAAGAGAATAATAGGTATATAATTCATTTATTTATAAAAATAAAATCTGGGTAATGTGTATTATGGTATTGGCTTTAAAGTGACCTTAATAACTTAAACCGCTTTTATTTATTTATAAAAATAAAATCTGAATAATGTGTATTCAGTTAGGTACCTACCTATCCATAATTATTACTTATACCAAAATAAAAGTGATTGTTTCATTTAAATGTGCAAAAATACGGTCGATTTTATTTATCAAACTGATTTAATTTGGTTAAGCTACATTTAAAGAGTTCATGTTATTAAGAACGCTTTAAAGCGTTTACATGATGCATGATCAAACAGCCCTTAATCGTGCATGTAAATGTAGTAGGTATATGTTTCATTAGATAGTATCCCTAAATCCCTATCTCATATTATATACAGTGTGTTTCCTTTTAAAGGTAACACTAAATAATTCTGTCCAGTGACATTGGATTAATATGCGGATTTCGGGAGGGGATAGGGAATACATAAATACACGTTTCTTGATGATTTTTACATTTTTAGATCTATCCGTGTGCKCATGCGCAATACAACTTRCATTTTTWTAAATGRCAACAGGTGTTTTGAATACCAAATTCGGATAGACCGAATTTTTTTAAGTCGATTTGGTCCTTTTTACCATAGCTCTAAAATCAAAATTGACTAAATGGCAACCAGYCAAAGTTTTGATTAATATTATTGAATTTTTCACCAATCATACTAGAATTTTATGAATTATTATGAAATTGTATTTATTATTTTTGTATCCGTAGGTTTGCAGATATTATTAAATCATTTAAATCGAAACTTTGACTGGTTGCCATTTTGTCAATTTTGATTTTAGAGCTATGGTAAAAAGGACCAAATCGACTTTAAAAAAATCGGTCTATCCGAATTTGGTATTCAAAACACCTGTTGCCATTTAAAAAAATGCAAGTTGTATTGCATGCGCACACGGATAGATCTAAAAATGTAAAAATCATCAAGAAATGTGTATTTATGTATTCCCTATCCCCTCCCGAAATCCGTATATTAATCCGATGTCACTGGACAGAATTATTTAGTGTTACCTTTAAAAGGAAACATACTGTATAAATTAAAGGTTTGCATTTCATGTCTAGATAAATTCACTTTAATCTGTGAATTTAATTACACTTTAACTCACCGTTTGTGAATTTTGTTATTAGATCATGCTTTTATTATTACATTTTAAATTTTTTTAGTATCTTCTGATGGTTTTCTAATTTCTACATAGTGGTGATTGGCTATAAATTATTTATTATGAACAGTATATCCACAGAAAACTAATAATTTAGAATGCAATAATTATAACAAAAATTATAACTCCAATAATTTTGCTACTAAACCTATAACTATAGTTATATCATCATTGTACGGTAATAATTTTAATGAAATAAATATTTTTAGAATAGGTAGTAGGTATAAATATTTTTAGTTTTTTACAGAAATTATTAACATATCTTTTTTAAAAATTTTATAAAAATTTAACGATTATAACAAATATATATATATATTATTTATATTTATTTTATTTAAATTTTTTAAGAACACGTGAAGTAAATAATAATTTCTGATTTACTAATTAATTACATCTGGATTAAATTCATAGGTTTTTAAGTTTAAGTTCTTAGTGTTCTTACTAGTGAATAAAATACAAGTGATTCTTAATTCGAGAGCTCTAATACATTTATATACATAAATTTATTTGTTACAGCCATTAGATATGCCAACAATTATAGCAGAAATAGTATATTTAGGTTACTTAAATCTCCTTAAAGCTTGAAAAAACTATAATAATGGTAATTAATTAATTTATTATAACATAAAAGTACTATCTATAATAATTATCATAGACGTCCCCAGAAGGGAGCAAGACAGGGCACTTGTCCCCCTCTTGAATTTTAAATTTGTTTTCCAAAGTATTATCTTTAATGTGCCAATTTAGTAAACATAAATTACTTTTAAAATGTAAGCATAAAATGTATAAAACATTATTCATTTATTTTTTAAATAAATTTAACCCTCCCTTGAACAATATCTGTAGACATCCATGATTATTATGTACATAAGTTTAATAATTTATTATTATACTATTGTATTGCTGTTTATTGACTCGTTTAGACGGATAGCTGAAAATGATAGAAACAAAAGGAATACAAAATATGAGCAGAAATTGAAAGAAAACTCAAGTATTATACTAAACAACTAAATGTAACTAAATTTATATTTTATTTATGAAGTTAGGTAAACATATTTCATAATTTTAGATTATACTATAAATTAAATTTAAAATCAATTGTTTTTTAGAATTTAATATATTAAGTAATAAATATTATAATTAAATACATACTAGGTAATGTACAGGGTTGGATCTTTGATGTTTTTATACTGGACATATATAAATTCTATAATTTTAATTTTAATTAATATCTAATGGTTTTAATTATAAATAGGAATAAATAAGACACTTAAGCTATAAATCTTGTTTTATCAGTTTAAATGCAAATAATGATTAGGTGCAATAATTAATAGCTGGCAGTATTATTCTTATTAACTAATTTTTTCCTTTGTAATATGATACTCGTAGTTACATACAAAAATTGTCAATAAAAAACTAACAAAGGGGCACGTGCCCATGTGTCCCTCCTCTGAATTGACCACTGGTAATACACTAAACTTTGCTTATAAGACATGCATTAAAACTATCACAGATTAAATCTTGAAACTGTCAACAGATTGATTGTTATGGGCGAAGTCAGAAAAAAACCAACAAAAATTGTAATAAATTACCTATTAACTTAATTTTGCTACTTTCATATATTAAATAATATTACATATTATAGTGCCTACATGCTACATACATACACAATAATAATTGCAATAAATTTGAAATGTGATAACATTTGTCATAGATACATGATATACTTATGGAATGGCAGTTGTCTTTAAACTTTTTGATTCACGGCTCTCTGTTTTGTAAAACAATTTTCATAAACTTAGTCAACTTTGCTGGTCACACAAAAAAAAGAAATGCTTCAGCAGCTAGTTTTGAGTACCTAAGTTCACGTGCCCAAGTGTGCTTAAAACATTTCTAAAGAAGTTTCATAATAAACATTAATTTAAGTTTGGGATAAAAATTAAGCTCAAATAATTGATTTTATATATTAGTAAACATTTTAACTGTCATTGTATCTGCTGTAAATGGGTATTCAATCCAATCATATCTTATTTAAATTCATAATTTATTATTTATAATTTTAGAAATCCATTTGTATTAGTGTATTACTTATGTAACCCAAATTTGGGTTGCAACTCACCAGTTTAAAATCACTGATATAATATTTAGCATGATTAGAAATCAATAATAACCGACAGAAAAATTTATTTTCTACGATTTATCTTACAAAATTTGAGTCTTATAACAGAATTATTTTAATGTACAGTAGAGCCTCGATAGTCCGGACCCCCGATAATCCGGTGAACGCGGTAATCCGGACGGCTAAATTCCATTTTGTTCGTAAATTAATTTTACGAGAATTCCCGCAACACAATTAATCTATAAAATATTGTTATCGACAAATACAATTTCGTCATTTTTATTACCTACTGTTCCTAGTAAAGACTAATACATGTACCTATGTGGGTACATAATAATAGTGAAATTAAAAATAAAATCTTACTAATTATTTGAATATAGGTAATTTTGAAAAACCGCCGGTAATCCGGAAAAATCGATAATCCGGACGATGCTCGGTCTGAATTCGTCCGGACTATCGAGGCTCTACTGTATTTGTGTACATCAGAATCGTTCCAGGTTTTGAATCTAATAAACGACTAAACCTTATATCTGTGAGTCTGATAAGCAGCGATTACTGTATACCTATTCATTTAAACTCAATTTTTAATTAAAAATTATAGTTATATTTTTTTACAATAGGTGTTATGTTATAAGAGTAAAAAAAGTCATAAAATCCGAGAAGATGAACTATCTGCATCTGAAATTAAGCCCAAGTCCATTGAGGTGATTGAAATATGGCTTATAATCTAAGCTTACATTAATTTGTTTTTTGAAAATTTGTAAATATTTAACTACACTGATAACTTTTCATATTGGTATAATTTAAAATTTTTGTAATCTAAATGATGATTAGTTTTATTTAATTTTGTTATGTATCTATTATAATTTGTAAGCTAACTGAACTGCAAAATATTTTATTTTTAAGCTGCATTTAGTTTGTTTTATAAAAACTAAAAGGTAACATATTAGTTTATAATTCGATTAKTTCATACATTTAAATGCATATTGTATTATTTTTGTTTATATTTTATATTTCAACTACCGTAATTTGCATTGTCACTTGTTTTCCTTACAATTATTGTATCTAGAACTTTTATAATGTTGTATTAAGCATTTAATACTAGTATAAGTTAAGACTTAAAAGGATATAGTAATAAGAAATGTTAATACATACAAATTAGATTAAGAGAACAATTATAAGTAATAGATTGCAAACCAAAACAATGTATATTCCAGTGGCGCCGAACCCTATATTAAGGTTGGGCCATGGCCCGACATATTTTGAAAATTTAAGATAGGGCCGCTCCATATTGACCATTTTCCTCTCCACGGTATGCCATTTTTTCCGATATTAAGATGTTGGGCCTCTTGAAATATTTTTCGCCCTACTAGATTTTTASGACTTCGGCGCCACTGGTATATTCCACAAACATATGAATACATGCAACTAGGATAATACAACAATCATGAAATAAAATAACAATTTAATATAGTTTAATCATAAGCAAAATGTAACTACTAACTAGGCTAAAACATAAATCGATGATGATAGTATTCTATTGTATAACTAATATATAAACTATGTATTAAGACAGAAAAGAGGTCAGTTGGAGGTAACTCGGTTACCACTTATATAGCTACTAGTGTCAAAGTCAGAGTGTGGTGACCACTGGACGTCAGTGTCTAAATAAAGTGCTCTTTAAATTCATATTATTTGTTTATTTGTTAAATTTTTGTGTACTTCTGTAATCGGCATATACGACAATATTGTAATATAATCATTATATACAATAATTAATAATCATATTATTACATTATTATATTATATATAATTATTAATAACAATAACAACTTTAGAATTCCCTGTTGATTGTAATCAATAAAGAAGTAAATACTTCATGGTGTGTGTTGTCATCGATTAAATAATAAATATAATAGATTAAAGCAATGTTTCCCAATCTATGGGTCGCGAAATATTTTTGATGGGTCGTAATGTTTGTAAACTAATAAGAAAACAATCTTAATTATAATAAGAAAATAATATTAGATGTAAGTCAATTAAAAAATTGTTACGTTATATTTTAGTATTTTACTAAATATCACTCAACCTACATATAATAATAACACAAAGTACTTCTACTGCCTTTCTAGTGGATCAGGATGTCCAAAAATTAAATTGTTAGGAAAATGAGTTTATCTCCATCAAATCAGTATTTTTACACACTTTTTATTTCTTATTAGTCGTGGGCATTCTTATTTTTGAAAGTGTTTTTTTGTACTTTGTTCATTATTTTTAGTTTTTTTTTCATGTGCTTGTACACTGTAGATTTTTTCTCGTAGAGTTAATCTAGCTAGAGCTCTCTACATTTAGTCTAGAAGTGTGCACAAGATCTAGAGTACTCTAGCGGTTGCCTCTCTAGGGTCTAGGTAGACTAAATAGGCTAAACAAAAATCTACAATGTACACGGAGATTCTACACAATAGCTAGATCAGTCTATATCTATTTGTTCACTTGAAAAGACCAAATATAGCAAGTGGAGATATTTAAATTAATTATCAACAGTGTTTTCGATTATTGTTTTTTTGTTTTGTATAAATAATATATATTTTGTTTTGAATTATTTGTACAATGGCCGCAGTTGTATGGGACAAGCAAAAAACCAATCAACTAATTAAGCTTCTTGAATCGTCTCCTGCACTGTAGAATTGTACACTGCAGGAATAYATAGACAGGCAGGTAAAGGCAAAATTCCTTTGTTATCTTTTTTTGATATACAATTTCTTACCTACAACCTCTTCGTTTTTATTTCCTGTTTTTCATTAATCAAACTACATACTATAATTACAGCTACAACGCGTTTGAGATCCGTCATTTTTCGTACGAAAAAATATTGTTATCAACTATTCAACTAGCCCAAATGCTCTCTCAATGACAACTATCTTGTCTATAAAATCTGACTAATGTACTCGGGCCGTAGACTTATCTAGGTTGATTTGATCTATGCGCTCTCATAGACTGCTCTATTTAGAGCACATTATTTCGGTATAGTGTAAATACACTTCTAGTGCACTCTAGCTAGACCGATCTAACTACCTGTATTTCTCTCTACAGTGTACAGGCATCTTAGAATATAGGTACCAATTGCTTTTTTATCTATTATTATTTAGTATAAAAAGAATAAAAAACTTTACAGTATGAAGTATTTCCATAAATATACTTTTTATTATAATACACATTTATGAGAATTTAAATTTAATATAATGAAATAATAATATAAATGTTAACTATCAATTAAATTTAAACCTAATACCTAGTTTGTKTATGCAATGCGCCTATTGAAATATCATACTAATAAATAAAATAGGTATATTAATAAAAATTAAATTTTGTTTGTTCATTTAGTAAATTACAATATTTAAATTAAAAAATAAATATATTATATAAAAAAAAACAGTTTTGAATAAATATATAGATAACTATTTCAGTCTTTTCAATGGACTTATATCACATAAAACAATTTTATAGTTAAACAATAACCATTAATTTTTAAAAGATAAAGTTGTTATACTATACATTTGTTTTAGGCATGATAATTAAATACTAGGTAATAGGTATTTAATACTATTTATGCAGTATGTCCATTGAAAAATTATTTTACCTATGAAATAAGCAGTATATCATTGACCATTGTAGGTACATACTGCTTTATTCTCTAGAAATGTCTACATACAACAACTTTTTTTGTACCTATCCTGGGGCGTACTCAAGGGGAGATTAGTGGGGTTTGAACCTCCCCCATGACCTCACTAATCCTATGTAGTCTTGTGCATTCGTGCTTAGGGGAGAGGTGGCCACAGTGAGACACAGGACAAAGCGATCCATTAAATATAAGTCGACTAATTGAACCATCAGATGGAGAATCCAGAAGATTCATAAAATCATAATAAACATAATGGTTAACTATTATATAGATACTAGTATCTATATCCGTGCTATTAGCACAGAATATATGAAATATTTCATATATTCTGTGCTATTACTCTATTAGTAAGTTCAGGTCAAAAATGATACTATCATCTTATCATAATATTATTATTTTTTATTATCAAAACGTGAAAATGTGAACTTTGTTTTTTTCAATTTTGGTATCGAATTTTATTCAAAGTTACGTATTTTAAGGTATGTATAAATTAAATTTTTCTTGTGCAYAATTTAKTTATATGYACAATTGTTTATCATAAATATTCATACGAGAATAATAAAAAATCTGCAAAATAATAGATYGRTATACAGTGAGACAAATAAATACTGTTGTCTCGCTGTACCCAACATCAGTTAAGTCTAAAACAAGACTGTTGAAATAAATTGTGATCATAATAAAKTGATATTAGGTTATGATTTTTATTTAATTTTTAAAACTATTGAAATAAACAAAGTGAAAACCTACATTTTTTTAATTGTACAAAAACACAATTAATTATTTTTAAATTTGTTAAAAAAATTTCTATAGGTTGAAATTTCGTTAAATTTTAGAATGTATTAAGTAATATGTTTTTTAATGCTCAATAATATTTAGAATAAAACCATAACGCTGTTGAAGGATTATCACTTAAAACAAAAACAATATTTAAAAAATAATTTTTAGTGTCTCACTGTGACCACCTCTCCCCTATATATAAAATAATCAAAAATAAACAATATATGTTTAAATTGTATGTCAACCAGTGTTGTGCTTAGATAAAAGTTAAATATCTAGATATAGATAAGATATCTAAACTTAAATTTATCTAGCTATAGATAGATACTGTAGAAATTGAATTTATCTAGATATAGATAGAT